GTCCAGCGTCTGCCTGTACTGGTGTCCAGTGTTTGTACTGGTGTCCAGTGCTTATACTGGTACCCAGTGTTCCCTTGTACTGGTGCCCAGGGAGGTGACCTAAAGCCCAGTTTGTGCTTTAATGGGTGCCCAGTGCGGTGTCCCGGTTTCTGCTGTGTGCTTGTATGGGAGCCCAGGGTGGTGTCCCCGTCCCTAGTGCGCGCTTCCGCTGGCACCTGGTGTGGTGACCTGAAACCCAGTATGGGTTCATCTGGGTGCCTGGTGGGATGTCCTCTGTCCCTCTGGGCACCCAGTGCCACGTCCTCTGTCCCTAAGGGGTGTCCTGTGCTTCTGTGGGTGCCCGGTGCATTGTCCTCTGCTCCTCTGGGGACCCAGTGCCACATCCTCTGTCCCTAGTGGGTGCCTGGTGGGGTGTCCTGTGCCCCTGTGGGTGCCCGGTGGGGTGTCCTGTGCTCCTAAGGGTGCCCTGTGCAATGTCCCAGGGCACCAAGACCAGCCTGTGCTCGTGTGAGTGCCCAGCATGGTGACAAGGAGCGATGACCCAGCACGGGCTGAGGTTGTGGCTTTGGTGGGACCAGCCCTGAACCCCTCCTCCATCCCCAGCACTCACCCTCTGCGCATGGTGGTTAGTGGGGTTGGCCCAAGCTTCACATCCCCACCGACATTTTCTTTCCGTTCTCAGTAAAAGCGACGATGCCAATATGGGTGGTTCTTCTTTCGCGGATCATAATGAAGGAAAAGCAGACGACGAAGGTGCGGACAGGTTTGCTGAGGTTTCTTCTCTTGGGGGTGTTTGGGGTGTGATCTGCTGGCTGGCATCAGGAGACCTCAGGCTTTGGTGAGCTGGGTGAATTTTGTGGTTGAAATTAGATTATGCAGGTTTTACAAGTTCCTGTTCCTTTTATTGCAAATGGAAAGAAAACACATCTAAATGTTGAGCAAGATGATGCTCTCTGATCCACTGGAGTTGTTATCATGTGTATTGTAGTCACTTAATTTCCTCAAACTAAATACTATAAAAGTTGCTTCCTGGTTCCTGTTGCTTTATTCTTCCTTCTCCTCCCCAAATCGGCGGTATGCGTAAACTCAGTTGAAATGAAAATCCCTAGAAGCTGTAAGCTGTTCTTCTGTGTCCCTCTCTCAGGTGTACTTGTCTCTGATCCCCATAATAACTGGTGTCCTGTTGGCCACTGTCACAGAACTTTCCTTTGACATGTGGGGACTCATCAGCGCGCTGGCTGCTACTCTGTGTTTTTCACTTCAGAACATCTTCTCAAAGAAGGTAATAGTTTTGCTGTTCGTACCGTTGGTCAGTAGCATCAACCTTTAGCGGGATAACGTGTATTTTCCAGGATGTGAATATATTTAATTTTTTTAAATTGACTTTATAGTCAAAGGAGCCCAAGGTAATGGGTGGCTGTTTTGTCCAACAGTTCTCTACAGCTCTTCCTACCTGTTGAAGTTGTTGCACTGAAAATTGGGCAAGACTCAGAGTTATCCTGAGCCTTTTCTTTATTCCTCAGCATAGGTTTGGTTTTTTTCTGCTGGCAGTTCAATAGTGCTTAAATTTAGCTGTTCATTTGAAAGCTTTTAATGTCTCTTGCTGTGTCAGATCCCTTCTCGGTAGTGAATGAGTTGGTGTAAACACTAGGTGCTCCTTGAAATCGTAGAAAAAAAGTAAAAGTGTGTGTCTTGAATCTATTTAGTTACAAACTGATTTCTGGTTTGTAGAGCATTTTAAATGTCCTACTACCTTGTTAATACTGAGAGTCACCACTCAAGACACCATTGTTTTTCAAAGGCGCATCTGTTTTCTTTTGGTTGCCCTTATTGGAAATTCATCCTGTTTAGTTATTTCCATAATTTATCTGTCTTCTGAAGTTGTCACTGTTACATGGCTCCTGAATCTCCACTGGTAACGCGGGCGGTAGCTGACGCAAGGCTGTTTAATGGTGTTTTTTGTCAGGTGTTACGAGATTCCCGAATACATCATCTTCGGTTGCTGAACATCCTTGGGTGCCATGCTGTGTTCTTCATGATCCCAACATGGGTCTTGGTAGATCTTTCTTCCTTCTTAGTAGAGAATGACTTGGTAAGTGTTGTACTTGGGAAACTGTTTGCTATTATGAAAGAAAAGAGGGGGGGAAAAAAAATCAAACAAACACCACCCAGACCAAAAAAGCGCACTGAAGTGTTTCCGTGTAGTTCTCATCAGCGTGGAAGGAACTGTTGTGAAATACCTGCAGATTGTTTCACAAAACAATATAAAAAAGTAAGCACAGCGTTTATTGTGAGAGTTCACATCAGGGTTAGGAGAGGAGCTTATGTGGCAGCGTAAATCTCGGGAATGAGTAGCTGGAGACAGGAACAAACGCACCCAGGATGTGTGTTACGAGTATGTAGAGAGAAGTTTTCTCAGAGTTGGTGGCTGCATAGTGTAACATACCCGGGTGCTTCTCCTGAGTTAAGCTGCAGATGTTCTTCCTCTCGAAGGCAGGTGAGAAGCGACTCATGCTGTATTTGTGTTTGCCTCTTAGCTGAAACCTCAGATCATTTTTTTTTCTTGTAACATTTGTCTTTATAACAGAGCACGATGTCTCATTGGCCCTGGACCCTGATGCTGCTTATAATCAGTGGATTCTGTAATTTTGCCCAGAATGTCATAGCCTTCAGCATTCTTAACCTGATCAGCCCGCTAAGTTACTCCGTGGCAAACGCCACAAAAAGAATCATGGTCATCACCGTGTCCCTTATCATGCTTCGCAATCCCGTTACGAGCACCAATGTCCTCGGAATGATGACGGCTATCTTAGGGGTCTTCTTATATAACAAGGTAAGAGGTTTATTTGTTTGTTTATTTGTTCAGGAAACTCACTTGAAACAGTCCAGTAGCTTTCAATTTTTTTTTTATTTTTTTTTTTTTGGTAATCTTGAGCAGAAGAGCAGGTTGCTGATTTGGTGTGTGAGAGGAATGAGGTTTTTATTAGGAGTGACTAACATTTTAAGACTCTAACAGGCTTAGATTACAATCTAATTGTAAAACTGTTTTATTCTGGGTATATGAATATGATAGGTGATGTCTAAGAAAAACATTCATTCTTTCTTTCCTAGACAAAATATGATGCAAATCAAGAAGCAAAGAAGCAGCTACTTCCAATGACAACTGCAGACCTTGTGAATTTGGACCGGCATCGAAACACTCCTGAAAAGTCTCCGAATGGACTTACAGCATTTGCACAACACGGAGACTATCAGTACGGTCGAACCAATATCTTAACAGACCACTTCCAGTATAATCGGCAAAACTATCCAACCACCTACAACCTAAATCGTTTTGATATATAGAATCCTGGTGAACAGGTAGAGACTGTGATATCAAAGTGTCCCCAACGTTATCAGAAACTTTTAGTACATCCATGAATGTAAAGCCATTTTATTGTACAGGTTTTTGCAGAAGGGAAGATGCATGTGTAGTGAAAGCGGTACCGACCTTCGACTTCTGCTGAGCAGACCTCTCAATGTGAACCAGCTAGATCTGACACTGGAACCAAATGCACAGTGTAGCTCTTGTCCAGAGATTCTGGTGAAATGCTCGTACAAAACTTCAAACACCTGCTGTCACTGCTCCTTTACAGAGGCTGTCAACTGATTATTCCTTTGGCAGCTAAATTCTGGCCAGTATTTTATTTCCACGCTGGTAACGTCACCTTTAATTTGTTCTCTAATATGTTTTAATGATACTTAGGTGAAACTTTCAGAAAGAAGCGAGACTAAGGCATCCTTCTGGTTATCAGGATTTGTCTGTTTGAGGAGATTGACTTACGGTGTATCAGCTGCAGACAGGTAGAGCTGAATTCATCTCCAGCAACTATGAAACTTCATGTGGGTATTAATTACTTTGGTGCCTATGCCTTCAGTTTTTGATGACAAACCAGAGAGTAAGCAGAAAGATTGATGTCTTCAAGAAGCGTACTTCAGGCGTAGAGAAACGGAATTCTCTGAAATCACTGTTGTCCCAGTCACTGTAGGTAACAAACAAACAGAGCTTAAGATCAGTTGTTTTCTGAATAATGTAGTCCTGTAACTTCAGACATTGCTCTTCCTTGGCCATACAGAAAACACCTTCACAAATAAAGTGTTTGGAATAATATGATTTTTTTTTTTTTACTTGCTTCACACCTGCTCTTACGAAACTCTTTTGTCGTTCAATTTGGAAATTGAAAGGCTTCAGGTGTTTTCTTCTCAGTTTTATGCATAAATTATGCTCTCTTATATGATTCATATATTATGAATGCATTAATTTGAATAATCATAATTCTTGATTGTTTCATTAAGTCTATCTTTTTAGCCCCAGATTATTTTTTTTTAAAGTTTCTTAATTACTGCTCTTGGAGTTGCGTGTGCATTTAGCCTGAGTGCTACTTTCTGCTGAAAGAAGTTAGATTTTGTATCCTGCTCTGTTCCTAGCTCCAGCAGTAAATTGTTAAGAAAAAAATTATTTGAATCAGCAGTAAATAGATAGTTTATGGTTAAGAAGAACTGATTCAGTCAGTATAAATGAACGTACTTAAATCTAGAGGAGTTGATTGGTGTGTGTCAGATACTGCCTTTGTGCAGGAAAGGAATGAAACCTGTTGAACTTGGGTTTCACTGAATCAGGTTGTTATTGTTGTTACTTTAGCAAAAGAAGATTTTAGGGGCCTTCTTTCCTTAACGGAAAAGCTGTTGTACAGTGAGATTTTTGATAGCATAAATGTTATGTTTTTACTAGAGAGGTATTAGATACCAGTGACAAAATTCAGGGTGTGGTACACAACACTCCCTCCACTTATTTATTGCTTTAAAAATGACCATTTCTGTGATGTGAGATGATGATTGGGCTCCTTTCTGGATAATAAAGAATTGAAGTGCAAAGTCAACCTGCTCTTATTCTTTTGGCTGCCTGGGGAGGTGGTTACGCAGACTGCCTTCCACCATACAGTCCAAAAGAGGAAATGGTCCTTCGGAAACTTCAGAGATGGGTTAAATGTGCTGCTAATGTTTGTGAGCAGAACTTCCTTGACTTCACTGGAGTCAAAACTGTTCATCCTAGCTTAGAACTTGGGCTTTTAGTTTAGAAAATGTAAATAAATTATTCCCTAACCCTGGTTAACCAGAACAAGATAATGCGGAAAAACATTCTTTCAGGTGAAATTTCTTTTGCCTGGTCAAGTATTAATTGTTGTGTAATTTTGTTCTTCTTAATATGGGAAGGTGCAAAATGTGTATTTCTAAGGCTCACTTCCCAATGTTCAAGTACTTTTACGTACATGTAGAAAGGATTGTGTGGACTCGGGGTTTGGATTAGGTTCTGGCTCTGCAGAAGACTAATTTGAGGATGAAGCATTTATGCTGAGATTTTGAAGAGGGGCTGAAGTTCTCCAGCTGTTTTCAAAGGGAGGTAGCTGTAAACTGTTAGACTCCTGCAAACACTTAATTGTGGTTTTTGTGCCTCAGTTTCCCGTCTGGAAAATGGGGATGATTCTTCCCTACTTCACAGGGCGATGAAATACCAGAAGAAAGTGGCAGTGGGGGCCCCAGGGATGTACAGGTGTACTACGAGTTCATCTCTACACCTTCTGCTATGTCTACCACTGTAACATCTTCATACAGCTCGAACTGCTACTTTGAATAAAACTCCACATACTTTGAGGCTTTATTAAATATATTTAGATGGTTTCTTTTTAAAGAATATTACCAGATCTTTTCTGCAACTCTCTTCAGAGAAAGCTCGCACTGCACACTTACTGTGGCAGGTCTTTAGCTCGGCTTTTTCTGTCGAGAGTACGGTCGCAGGTGAGGGCCTTCTGTTGAAAATACCTTGTCCCAAATTGTGGTCTGGGCTTACCGCCTCGCTGGGTCTCTGAAACAAAACTAGTGTACATGCAGAGCAAAAAGGGACTGACCCGGCACGAGGGTATCATCTGTTTAGGGTCCGGTGAATGAATCTCTGGGCTTCTTCCCTGGAGACTGCCTGACAGCATTCATGCTCTTCTAGTTCAGGCCTGTGGAGAACAGGGATCATTATGTAGAACGTGTAATTAAAACAGTTAAGTGAATTGGTCACAAGAGGTGGTTTTGCTGAGTACCTGAATCCGAGTCCTTAAGCAATATTGCCCACATTCAGGTAAAGGAAGTTTCTGATACTGTTGTAATATATATTTTAATCTTGGACCGCTGGAAGATTTTGTTTGGCAAAGTGAAACATTTGTTTTAACATGGTTTGTAAATTAACGACATATTTAACTGTGTACATAGGTCTGTAGAAAATATGGAAACACTGGAATAAAAAGGGCATATCTAGACAATCGTGTATAATGATCCTGTTATTAAATCAAAGAGAAGGGCCTTGGTTTGAGTTTTTTACTTGCAGAAAGCTTTGCGAGTGCCATACGTTAGTAATAACGGTCACTTGTGAGAAATCGAAATTAATGTTTCGCTGTATGGGTGTGAAACTATGATGATTTGGATGCCAGAGGTAGTGTTAGGACACTAGTTGCCGGTATCCTTAGAAATGTTTTGATTTCCATTATGGATTTCTAACATACATGTAAATATATTACAAAATTGGGAAATTCATCCCAAAACAGTCCTGGATAGTTCTAGAAAGACCAGTGTGAAAGAAACCAATCTTTCCCCACTACGTGTGGGTTTTCTGTTGATAACTCTGTAGAGTATTTGGTGCTCTTTCAAGACATCTTCAAAATATTTCCCTTGCAGATTCAATTTTAGTACCCAGTAGTGATTAGAGCATCTCTATCATCTGGTAAAATGCTTGTGTTTTTTAAATAACTGAATGCAAAATAAAATTGAGGCAATACTTAGGCTTTGTAGGCGTACAGTGATTTGTAAAAATAGTGTTGGTAATTTGAGGTCAACTCACGATGATTCCTGATGCTCAAGACCTTTTCTTTCTCAGCTGTGTTCAAACCCACATTTTTCTGATGTAGCATTTTGCAGCAGAAGAAACTTCTGCCATGTAGCTATTTGTGAAAAAGGTGCAATATAAATAAAGGGAAAGTTCTGTTTTTCTAAGGCTTCCATTTCTGAACCATGTTGTAAGCTGTTAAAAATAATTCTGAACTATCTTTGTGGTGATGGTATGGGCTGGTAAAACAAATTTGTTAATCCTGAGATGCTGGGTGTGTGATACAATCGCATTGTGTAGATCTGCAAGTGCAAATATCGCAGTCATCACCCTTTTTTTTTTTTTTTTTGGTAATGTTTTATGTTGGTACTCTATAAATTGATGTGAATATGGGTGGTTTTACAAAGAAAAAAAAAAAAAACACCAAACCCCACACTACTTTACTGTATGAAATGTGGAACTTAGACACTTTTGTTATTGTTCTCCTGTTCTTATTTCAACTCTGTCATTCTGTGAGGTTCTGGACGTTACTCAGCCTGCCTCCCTGCACTTTCTCAACAGCTGTATTTTGGGTTCAATTCACGCTCTACTGACCTTCCTACACATCCACACACCTTCCCATTTCACATCCTGCCGGTGGTCTCCGAGATGGCCTGTCCCTGCCCAAGATTAAACAGATGTTAAATAATAATTATATATATAATTCTTGCTCTCTATTAATTCTGGCAACTGAGCTGGAGTT